GACTTCTACCCGGAGCCAGCCCCGCAATACGCCCGAGCGGCGGCGAGCCGAGAGAAGGCAGGCAGGAGGGATTGTTCCTCCGGCAGGAGGGATTGTTCCTCCGGCAGGAGGGACCGCTCCTCCGGCAGGAGGGATTACTCCTCCGGCAGGAGGGATTGCTGCCCCGGCAGGAGGGATTGCTGCTCCGGCAGGAGGGATTACTCCTCTGGCAGGATCAGGTTGCAGCCCTCCCTGCCTTTGGAGCTTTACACCACACCCCTGCAACGTGAATTAGGAGGGGAGGATCATATTCAGCTCTGATTCAGGAATTCCCTCTTTCTTCAAGAACTGTTGCTAGGAGTTTGGTGAGTACTTTGCAACAGACTTTCGGTTTTAACTGAGTAATTCTTTTTCCTTCAGCTGCCGAAAGCAGCTGGTGGCCTTTCTTTAGATGCAGTAGTAGTCAGATGTTTAGATTCAAAGTCCAGCGAAGAGTGCTGCAAAACTTCTTTTTCTCTACAAATTTGACACAGCGGGACAATGACTATACTTGTATGATTAATACAGCTAATATTTGGTTGCCATAATCTCAGTCTGAGGTATTTTAAGCTCCAAACGTTTTCCAAAACGTTTCTTGGAAAGGAAGCCGTCCTAAAGTTGAATAAGTTAATTCTGATCAATAGCTCGAGTTTGAAGAAAAGCTCTTGCTTTTTAAAGCAATTTCTCCACTGCAATAGATCCAGGAGAAACTTGATTCAAGTAGGTTTGCCAGGCTGTTTCAAATCAGTCTGAGGCAAATGACATCTGAAGCAATTTATATTTTAAACAGTACAGGAAGATTTTAAGAGAATTAAATTAAGCTGGATGAGACATAAGCCAATTTCATCCACAGTATATTTGAAATTTACAAGAAACCCCATTTTAATGACTGTAGTGAATGAGTGCATCCAGTTGTAGCAGTGTAACAAACGCACGCTGCCCCCCAAAAAGACCAGAATATTTTTGGTGATTTTTGTAATATTTTACTTAGAGTAATTGATGCAAATTTTAGTAACTGTTTAAAACAAAGCAGTGATACTAGCCTGTATTTTAAAATATTGCTAGAATTGGTTAATATGTTAAAAAAAAATGCAGTTTAAATGAGGAAAAGGCCCATAACAATGAGAAATTAGGAGAAAAAGTAGGGAGAACAAATAGAAATTTGGATTGGGGGAGGGTGGAGAGTTTGTGGATGGTCAGTCTGACTCAGTGCTCCAGGAATTAGCCATGAAAGTTTCATGGGAAACATGCAAAGATATAAACCTTCCTTCCTGAGTGTCTTATGGACAGACGCAGGGACAGGAAGTGCAGCTGTCAGTGCAGATAGGGACAGCAAGGGCGTGCTGGAGGAATTGCTAGGCACCCAACTTGAGTAAAACTGACAGCCTTTGCCCTTTGGAACCTTCTGCCCATTATTTAAGTTCACTAGGAGACATTTATTACTGTCTGTGAATCCTGTCAAATAATGCCCTGTGTGAAATGCCTCATTAAAAAGCAGCCGTATGGCCAATTGCTTGATTAATCCATTTATTTGAAAATTTTATGACTTTTATGCCAGAAAGTCACCAAGTGCTCTTTAAATTGCTTTTCAGTAGTCTGAAAACAAACAGTAGTATGTTTGTCCTTACACTGAGCATTGCATAGTTTGTAATTTTGAGTTTTAAAGCATTGCAGCTCTCTGGTGTACCTATGTGATGTTTAAGGTGCATTTAGCTTTTTAGTGCAGTGCCCACATTTATATAGCTCACAAAAACTTAATTGTTGTTCATCTAGTAATATTCTAAATGCAGAATAAGAGTTTCATGTTCCTGACTCAGGACAGATAGAAATTTAATGGCATTGAGTTTATCTATCCCTAATCTCACAGGAGAGTGATTTTGAAAGCGCAATAGTAAAACAATGACTCTTTGGGGTCTATTTTAGATCTCAAGGGAAGTGAGGGACGGTATTCAAATAGGAGGCAGATTTTCTGGGAAGAGGAAATTTTAAAGAAATTGAATGAAAAGTGATCTTGGAAACAAAGCAAGGGTGTAAAAGAAGGAGCATCCTAGCAGACTCTCAGAACATGTCCAGATCCACAGTTAGAGAAGGAGAATTACTCAGCTCCAGTTCTACCTGCAAGGACTGTTTATTTCTCAAATAACCCTTCCAAGTGTATAAACGTAAGAAGACAATGGTACCCAGGTGTTCTCCAGCACTGGGGCACTGATATCCTTTATGATATTCTGATTCTGTGCACCTTGCAGTACTTCAGGACACAGAAGACTTTTCCCACTGATATATCAGTGGGGTTAGAATTACTTTTGGAAAAAAAATAAAATTAAATCTCCTCTGAAAAAAAAAAATACACAGTCTCTCACATCCTGAAAAGTTACTTTAATATCTACATTTACTTTAAAAAGGTGATTCTGGCAGTAATTTTAGCTTGCATTGGAAAATAAGGTAGTATCTGCTCTAAGTTTTTTTTTACTGTCATGATTTTGTTGTTGTGCATTCAGTTCATTCTGGGTCTGCCAGAAGGACTCAGAGCATGTGTACAGGAAGAAGAAAAGAAATTTTAAAATTAAAAAATAAAAAATAATATCAATAGAAATTAGTAGCATTGAAGTTTACATGTCTGTGATATCTCAATTTTGGAGCCAAGTGTTAAAAATGTGTCAGATTCCAGTAGCTTCTAGTGTTGTTTGTTTGGACTGCATTCTGAACAGTCACATTTTCTCTCTAGAGAATCAGAGGAGGCTGATGGGGGTCTTCCTATCTGAAGCTGCTCTTTGCAGTGAAAGGAGGGAAAACTGTCTTTAAAAACAGGGACAAATTACCCACTTCTGTATGTTTCTCTTATGAAACCATTTTAACTTTACAATGGGGACATAATTCCCCTGAGGACAGAATGAAGCAAAACCATATGGAGAATTGTATAATTCCTTTCCCCTCATAATTACTTCACAGCAAAATAGACTCATTTTAATCCTTTTAATTTTCTCTCCCAACTCTTTGGTTTCTGGATTATTCCCTGTGCTGTTAATAGAGCTGTTTATTTTCCATCTTTAGTATTGCTGCCATCTTCCCTGATGAGTGCCTCTCATAACTGAGTGTAGCTCTGAAGTTTACTGGGCAATTAGATTTACAGTTTAGTGAGAAATTAAAACTAGGCTTTGCTTATAACCCAGTGTATAAGCTGGACCACAAGAAAGTTCAGCTTTTTTCAGAAAATTTAACCTTCCTTCAGAAAATAAAGCATTCCAAGAAGAACTAATTTTAATGTAAGTACATTGAAAAGAGTAGTTGCAGCAAGTAAGTTAGAAATACAAATTTTATGTAAAGGAATCACTCAGTTGGTCCTGTCTTTATGAACTTCTAGAAAGGTCTCTCACTCTGTTGGCATTTGCTGTAGGTCCACAAGAGCTGGCAGTGCCATCAGAATGAGAATCATGATTTGTACTGTGGTGGGAGATGAAGGGAATGCAACCCTTCTCTTCTATGGCATTGTTATTTTATGTTGGTTTCAAGCAGCTGTAGGGTGATAATCTGACACAGTCAGAATCCTGGGTGATTCCCACTGAAGGCAGTTTCAGCATTTCTGACTGTGTGACGATCACACATCCACTGCAGGAAGTGTCTGTGGTGTCTCCAGCAGGGAAGACAGACCAGGTGAGCCAAACTTGCCTGACAGAGCAAGGCAATTTATATTTTGACCCTCTGTACGTGTGAAATGTGATTGATGTGATGATGAGGTTACAAAAGGTGAATGGGTATGATCAAAAGCAGTCACAAGAGACATCACTGGGGCAGTAGTTTCCTTTTGTGCCTGCCAGTGATATTTTCAGCATCTGACAGCTTCACAATTGAGAAGTCATGCTTCCACAGAGCGTGCAAATGGGAAATTACACACCATTAGGTTATATATATATAATATAGTACTGAAATTACTCTCCCCGCTAGAAAAGCAGGTTGTGCTAAGTTAACTGACATCTAAATACACTTTTCCAGTCCAAACTGCTAGGAAAAAAACAGGTTAGACATTTTATAGTGCTTAGATGTAACTAATATTGCTGCTTGTTTGTTTTGCTAGTGGATTTTGTGCTCTGGAGTGGTTTTTATTAGGATACTGAAAGCATTCCCTGTTTGAAAATAGAATCAGATGGCCAATATTTTTGCTACCAATGGGTAGTTTCTGTCCTAGCAGTACAGGCCTGAATGTAGTGGGTTTGTTTTATTTATTAAGATTTATGAAATTATGTCAATGAGTTATTTGCTTTAGTCCACATGTAAAAATATTTTGATAGGAGCAAAAGATTTCTTTTCCCCTTTGAAAGCTGTATCAAAATGAAAATGAGCTAGTTATGTGATTTGCTGTAGACAAACCCAGTGTTCCTGTGAGAAGTGCAGTTATTTTAATTAATCAGTCTTAATTTCAGAAGTTATAATTCACTCTGGATGTTGCATCAGGTGCTCTGCACTGCTTGGTCAGGGAATTAGGAAAATTGTTTGCAGGCTTCTGTAGCCAAGGCTTACTGTCACTGTAGGTCTGCCTACCTGATTATATCCCGTTCCCATCTCTTGGGTCATGGATACTGTGGCTGGGACACCTGACTGAACCAGGCAAGAAAGAGAAGTCAGTGGAGAAGGAATTTAGAGTCTGAGCTGTGTCACAAGAGAAGCTGAGTGGAGACAGGATGGCAGAAGTACCCAGTGCCAGATGTAAACAGACCAGCAGAAGGGAAAAAATAGGTCCTGGACCTAAGCTGGAAAAATGGAAAACAGTTTTAAAGCAAGAGTGACAGAAGTTAACAAGGAAAATAAAAAGGCAAGAGGTCTACAGGCATTTAAATATATATATATATAAGAGACTTCTTGTGCTGGGTTTATTAATTTATTTTTTTAGATTTCCATTTCAAAATATGATGAGGTTTTTGGGTGGTTTTTTTTGGCAATTCTTTTATCAAGTGTGCTTGAAAAGCATGATTTACAGCCTTCATAAAATCAGAAAGCAGGTGGGAATTTAAATCTGAAACAGTGACATCAGATTATACAACATTTTCAGCATAAAAGCTAATAAAAACATTAGTTTTTCCAAATTTTGCCGGTAGTTCCCAGTTTTCACTTTACTTTCCAGTTTTCACTTGGTAACTTCAGACTCTGGAATAGTGCAGCAGCAAAGCATTTATGCTAAATGGTGAAAGGTAGGAAACAAACCATAATTCTCTTTCATGACAAGAAGGAATTTGAAGTTCTCAGAGGAAGTGGATGGAGTCCCTGGTCTCAGGACTGACACAGACTATGGGAGCTGCTGCAGCAGGGCATAGAAAAGAGAGATAATTTGGGATGGGAGGTAGAATTTCCATAGCTTTTTCTTTCACTCAGTAATGTTTGCATGCTCATGAATCACAGTGCACTGCCTGAACTTACTAAGTTGCTGTGACAGCACAAGGCTCTGGTGACTCTGGTGGAAATCAGTTTAATTGACAGCTCATCACTGACTCAGGTATCACCATCAGAACAGGGGTAGTAGAATTCCTATCACCTATCATATTTACAGCTGAGGGAATGAGAAAACAGCTCCAAACCAGCACATGGAATAAAATAATTTTTGAGGGAACACTGACTCTGCCAGCTGGGAGACAATGCTGCAGGTATGACGTTGTCACGTGAGTTGGTAGGTGGTACAAGATACCACAGAGCAAAAACAATGCCTCTGAGCAATAGTGGACTGAAAAAAGTCTGCTTTTATATTAGAAGTGTTACAACCCTGTCTAGTTAGACCTTTTAATCCTTAATTTTAGGCTTTTAGGCTGTGCTAAATTGGACCTCTGGCCATGCACATCCTACCTCCTGCTCTTAACTCTGCTTAATTATATCCTCTGCTTTTTTTTTTTTTTTTTTTTTTTTTTTTTTTTTTTTTTTGTTTTTTTTGTGTGTGTGTGTGTTTTTATTTCCTGGGCTGTCAGGGAGAATGAGTCACTTTTGCAGTCATTGCAATGTCACTTTAGGCCTTTTTCTAAGGATGTCTTTTTTTGGCTACTACGGGAAATGCTAGTTTTATTTTTCTTTTTCCAGTTAACTTGTTAGAGATAAATGCCATGCTGAAAAAAAATAAAATGTTTGTGTCTAAACATTCAGGGAACTATAGAAATTGGTGTTGAAGAGACTTCTAGGTATGTAAAAAATGTATATATATATATATACACACATATATACACACATAGAAGTCCTATCTCCAAAGGCTGCAAAATGCATGGACAAGACACTGAGTTTTATACTTTTCCGATTTTGGCAAAAAAATCTTGAGATCTTCCTTTTATTTTTTGTTTTGGGTGTCAGGATAAAAAAGGCTTGGTTATAAGGCCAGGTAGTAAGGATCTGTTACTGAGAGCTTCCTTGATTGCAAATAAATCAGTGCTAATTATTACCCACAGACCTTTGATCTCCTTTGTCAAGTAAAATTCTTGTTGTGTGTTATAAAATGTCTCATTTAAAGGTGGGGAGATTGGGAGCTGTGGAATGCCAGTTGCTAAGGAATTGTGTGTATGAAATATACCTTAATGATAAAATGAGCATGAATGCTGGACTGATGCCTGGCTGTCCTAAGCTAGAATCCTTCTGGATGAAAAGACTTTATGTACTCTCAGAAATGTTCAGAATGTGGCTGAAAAACTCAGACAAAACTGAAACATTTCCTATTTTTCTCACGACAGAAAGTTTTTTTACCAATGTGTGCATTTGACATTTTACCAAGCTGAATATAACAGATGAAGTATTTTGAATTTTACAGTCCATATAAATACAACAACAAAAAATCAGAATGCTTAAAAAAAAATTATTGCAGTATCATAACACTTACAGCTTTAAAGTTCTATTACTGGGCAGCTGAACATCCAGTCAGAAAAACTGGAGTTTTTTCTAGAGGGTTTGGGTTTTAACTGAAAATCCAGCCCCAAACATGCTTTGATCTGGAATTTCATTCTTCCTTTGGGAATAATAAGAAATAATTAGAGCACAGAAAGATTTAAGCATTTTATTACCAAAACCTTCACCCCACTCATCCCACCTCCACCCAAACCTGACCCAGTGTTCTGGGACTGTGTGACCTCCTGGGAACGTGAGCAGGAAGATAAAGGAGATTGTGTTTGGTCAGGAGACTTTGCAGCGAGGCAGATACACTGCTGCACAGCCTACATTGTTCCTGTTGGGAACTGGCCCAACCACTGAGATGCCCAGCTTCTGACATGCTTTTGACCCTTCCTCTTCAGGGAAATGTAGGAGTTGGAAGAATAGAAATACTGTACCTTGGTAAGGGGTTTTTTTCCTCTATATAAATGCAGTAATTTGTCCTCATAATCCTCAGAGTTGTCCTCACAGTGACAATTCTGTATGGTAGCTCATGATACACAAAATTCTATTTCCAAATGAAAAAAATATAGACATTTATTAAGGATTTCCATTTTTGCCTGATTGCTGCTCTTCTACCTGGGGAAAAGATTTTAAGAATATGGAATAACTGACTAAAAATTGATTACTAAATTTTGCAATCTAAATCTATACTGTGCAGATTCCTGGAAGAAGGAACCAAAGCCTTACTTTAGCCAATTGAAAACCAGATTCAAATGGAATTTTGCTGAACAAGTGAGAGTTTTGATGGCATATTTGGAAAAACTCAAACATGGAAAACGAGGGCTCAGGGACAAACATGGAATTAATCCATGGATTACTGAGGTTGTGGATAATTAACAAGTTCCTTTATGAAAAGCTGCAATTGTGCCAGTGATTACTTCTAAGGAAAAAAATGTACTAGAAACTTGCTCTTTCCCATGTAATTTCAAAAACTATAACTGTATTTTGTAATTCTTTATTCCAGTGACCTCACTGGAGCCAGGCAGTTTGAAAGTTATTACTCTGTAGCTAAGTATCAAATCTGAATATTTAATGATATTTCTGCTTTAAGTCAGCCTAGACAAGGTCAAACCATCACCAGCTTTGTTTATATTGTAATGCTAAGTATCTGTGCAGTTCTTTGAATTTTCTTGCTTGATATTTCTCCCCATACTGTTTTTATTAGTTGTGGATTTATTTTCATTTTAGTTGATGTCAAACTAACATCATAAATCAGACATCTCTCAAATCACAAAGACAGTCATAGACAACTTTAGGTCACTTTGTACAGAGTTATTTTCTATTTTAAAGCGTGACTGGACTTTTTATTGGGGTGAATAAAAAGATTTGTTGTAACTCTTTTTTTTTTTAAACTTTGAATGAAAATGCATAATTCCTCCAAGGTCAGGCACCACAAAACTTTGTATTTAAAGGCTTGTAAAACTGTAGTTCCAGTTAGAATTATGGTAAAAGATGCTTCTTCTGTTTCTTTGAAAAATACCTGAAAATGAGCAATTCAAGCTCTTGCTCATTTTTTCTGTTTACAGAATATTTCAAAACTTGTGCATTGGTTTCTAATCCAAGAGAGGTTATTCCATCCCTGTTAGAAAATAATAATTTCTGATTTTTTTCACAGAATTAAAGAGTAGTCTTTGAGGAGAGATTTTTAAATCATGATTAAAACACAAAATGAGAAAGGTATTCATTTGCAAAATGTTTTGCCAAACTGTAAAAGCATTTTATTTGTTCCTGTAGAAGTTAAGCTTAATAATTGAGTTTAGAATTAATCAAAACATGCAATTTTTTGTTCATTTTGCCAGGAATGCTTTATGATGTAGAATTTACCATGGTCATATTTTGTGGCTAAAATATAAATTCTTTTAAACCCCAAATTTTTGTTACTTTATGAAAAAAAAAAAAGGAAAAATGAAGAAATCTCAGTGTTTTTATCATTGCATTATATACTGAAGCCTTCTAAAGGGTATTGTCAAATTTTAAAATTGCCTAAAAAATTAGTGCTGCTCGTGGTTTCATCAAGATCTGTTTTTAAGAATTCATTCCCTTTCTATTATATGCTGCAAGCTGGGAAAACACTGAGTGTGCAAGAGGGAAAACCTGGTAAGTTTTCTAGAGAGAAATGAGAATTGTGGCTCTGATTTGGTGAAGACATGCTGTTTCCACAGGCATGCAAACAAAAACACTGAAGGCCAAAGAGTGTCTGAAGGCTAGGAACTTCCTAGCCCTTAGATTTTTAGGTTTTATTTACTTAATATTAATTAACATAGCAAAAAATAATTAGTATTCTACTTTAAGAGAAGAGGGTAGGGAACAAGGGATTATGAATGCAGAATTGATCTGTTGGTAACAAAGAAGATATTGAGTCTATTCTCTAATTAAAATCCAGAGATCCTTAAGGAGCTTTTAGTTAGCTGGAAAATATGCATTTCTAAAAAAGGTTTTTCAGAGTTCATTTCATGTGTGCGTGCGTAACCTCATCTTTGGCAACCTGAACATTTTAGCTGCCATGGAATAAAAGTGTTTTCCCTCTGTCAATGATTTCACTGATTTGATTAAAAGTGAAAAATAGTAGCTCTGTACTTACGTGAGGTTCTTGGCATTAAAGAGATCTACAAGATATAAAATCCTGCTTAAAGCGCTGAAGCCCGCACTGCAAAAAATTCACTGATTCCTCTGAAATGCAACTTACTCAAGAGTCTGGGAACTTGGTAACTATAAATTGATTAAATATTCATAAAAAATGTTATTGCAATGCATCTAGGTTCTGCAGGTGGAGTAAAAGTTACTAGGAATGATTTGACTTGGCAAGCAACACTACATTGTGTAATTAATGCCGAGACATCAAGAATACCAAGGGTTACATTTCATGTCATGACGGTGTTCTGGGAGGTGATTTCAGCTGGGGCTTAGAAGGGAAGCAATAGCAGTGCCTCTAACCTGTACTGGAGATGGGACAGGAGATGTGCAATTTGCTGAGCACAATCCTTGTCTTGCTTTCCATCATGCTTACAACATGATTATCCTAAAAGAGCTCATGTTATCTCCAGAGCTCCCAGTTTGTGTGTCTGCCCACACTTTTGCAGGACACTCAAGGAACCTGACTGAATTTGTCATTTTTATGTTATACAGAGAAGATGAAGGGAAGAAAGAGGGGACATTCCTTATCTTCACCCTTTATCTTGCTGTTCTTCTGTATCGCCGGGCACGCAACTGATGAGTTGGATGGCAGCGAAGAAGAGCATGTTGTGGGTAAGAGATACTAGAAAGCACCTAAAACTCAACCAACAAACACCAAACACTCAAACAAAAAGCCCATTAAATGCATTCCAGATGTAATGCTGTACTTGAGAACTTTTGTGGGAAACTTTTGAAATTGGGACTAAGCTGAAAATGTTCTCTAACTGGGAGAGAGATGCTTAGAATTATCTATTAAGCTTTAGCAAAATTTCCTTCTACTGGGGCTTCTGTTTCCCAAGCTTTTTGGAACATCTAATCCTAATCAAACACTGGGTTGGATATCAAGATGAATCCTTTAAATCTTTGATTTAGCAGCATGGAAAAGTTCAATGTTCAGGCAAAGAAACATAGAACTGGATAACTCAGACTTTATTTCCTCACACAGAAAAAAACAGAAATATGATGATTATCGTTGTAGATTGATGTTGCTCTGTTCCATGCACAGATTTCTTGAGTCAAGTTTATTTGCAAAGGTGGATTTAAAGATGATACAATTACCATCCTGGTAGTTTTCCTGGGCCTTAACGAAGGACTTTGTATTGTCCCAAGTGATTTGATATCACTGGATAAATAAAGGAGTTGGACTCGATCCTTGTTAATCCCTTCCAACTCAGAATATTCTGCAATTCTATGACTAAAAACTCAGCAGTTGAAAAATTTTGCTAGAAAAACAGTGTCACTCTTAGAACTGGGGATGTTCTTAGATTTTCACCATGGTAAGATCATTGTTTACTTCATTGAAATTAAGATGGATCAGAATTCTAGACTGGATATCATTGTGAAGGGTATTTCAATTTCTTCCCAAACAATTCTGAGAAAGATGAGGGGAAAATACACTGCTGGGGCCACACTAAAATATTCCTTTTTCCTTTGAGGAAGTGACTTGAAGCTGTCATCACTTCCCTAAGCTGTTTGTTTTTTTTTTTGAGAAGTCTGCTTTTGAAGTGCAAATGAAAGTGCAGCTAAAGGGAACCTATTTGTTATGTTTTGTCCTATTTCTATCCAGCTTATATCTCTTTATCAGACTTTTGCAGCAGTGTTCTTTGAGATAGAAATAGTAATTGTGCACAGTCATGGCTATACTAAGATAGGACCATGTCACAATTAGTCACTACAATTTAAGACATGTTCTCTTCCAGGTTAAGTGAATGTTTAGAATGGCTGCTCTGGTTCATACAGAATAAATTTGTTTCTTTTAAACTCTTTTTAAATCTGAAGTATAACAATGCTCTTTTTGTTTGAGGGCAAAGTCACATTTATCTTTGCCCCACAACTCTTAGTGTTGTATAAATACTTATCTAAGCTTGCAGGTCATGAAGGCCAAATCAGGTTGCACACTTTGTCACCATAACAAGAACTCTTATGGCTTAATGTTTTTTTTCCCTCTATTTACTTTGTTTATAAAAGAAAATAAGTAAATAATTGTAGCAATGGGGAACAAAGAGACATGGACCCAAATGTGCATGCAAAGGAAATCACTTCATTGTAGAAATCACTCCTCTTTGATAATTTTAATTTCAACTGGACAAAACCAGAGCTGAGCAGAAGAAGGGCACCCAGTGGCTGCTCAGCTGCAGCGCTGCTGTCCGTGTCCCATCACCGTCACCCTCCCGCTCACGCGCTGCCCACGGGTTCATCCCCATAGCTGCCTCTCGCCCCCCAGCCAACCTGCAGCCATCCAGCCTGCAGCTGTGCCTTTCCAACAGAGCATAACCCTTAACAACTTCAACAAAAATAACCCCAGATCCCACAAGTAATCTCAAGGAAATTAAATAGTCGTTTTACTGGGGGTTGTTTTTTCACCGGTTATTTTGCAACCGGTTACTTAGGATTATGTGACCACGAATGGATTTAGTATGAGAAACAGTTCTGAACTTCTGGGCTTTAATTCTGAAGTAAAAACCCATCAAATGTGAGGCTTAGATACTAAATTAGGATTCTGTTTTTGTGACTACTGAAGACTCAGTTGCAGTGTTTACAATAAAAAAGCTTTTGCTGTGCTCTGTTTTCACAAAATATTTAGATTGTTGTTAATTAAAATTGTGTTTGTGGTTTCTCAAGATTTAACTTCTGGACTCAGAGACTTTAAATGTCAAAGTTTTGTGGGCTGAAATGTCGTTGGTAACATTTATTTTTGAAGTTAGATGATTATAAAGCAATGACATATTTTACCCCAGCATTCCATAAATTTCAGGTATTAAAGGATAAAATTAGTTGAGTGCATCCATTATTTTTAATGTCATACTTTTGGATCATATTGAGTACAAATGCTTTGTGAATTTAACAGGTAGGTTTTTGTCTATTTTAATTACAGTAATAATCAGGATTGCAAGGTCAAATCCAATGGAATAAAAAAGGATTTTTAATTTGTTCTCTTCCAGCAAAATCTGTCATTTTCCCATCAACAGATAAGTGTAATAACAAAAATGAAAGGTATAAAAATAAGCAGGTTATGTATATTGTTCATTAATCCCTCATGTGGTAGGCAGCACTTCAGCTGATGTTCCAAAGCCTGAAGAAAATGACTCACAAATTGAATGTGCTTTTTATTCCTATGTGAGTGCTTGCCAAGAATAAATGTGCCTGCCTAAAGAAAGTGTAGGAAACACAGGGTAGGAAGAGCACTGAACAGTGTGTGGGTGGGGAGCTGTCAAATTGACAAAGATGGAGAGAAAAGAAACAGCTATTCATTAGTGACAAGGTGCTTAGTATTGATACCACTTATCAAAGGGAGACATTGCCAAGTAAGGCAGGAAAGATGATAGAATATCTTTATAATTAAGGATAACCACGGAAATTTGTATAAAGTTGAGAACACATAACCTAAGCAAACTAAAAAAAAGTGTTTTTACATAAAAATTCAGAAATATTTGTGATCTTTATTCTCACAATTTATATCGTTCTGTTCTGAAAAGCAGCTTTTCCATAACGCCTTTCATATTTATTGTGCTGCAGGTGTAGTATAGAAATCAGTTCATTTTCTAATTAAAAGGAGGATTTTTTTATCAAGCAGCCCTGCAGATTATCCACAAGAGTTTGAAAGCCAAATTAGAGTCTTTTGTTATGCCTACATCTAGAGGAAAGGTATTGTTTTCACTTGTACTAATGTAAGAGGATTAGAGACATTATTCACCACTTCTGCTTTTGTAATATTACCCTGCTTTCTAGTGAAGGGATAATAGTACCTTGCCTGGATCACCTACAGCCCATGTGTTCAGGGCTGGCTGCAGCTCATTAGGGCTCTCTCAGTGAAATGCAGTGGAATTCAGTGATTTCACTGAAATGAGGAGTGGTGTTTGTGTGGTAAACAGTTGTCTTGGGATGTAAAACTTGCCATGAGAGTGATAACAAACGTGGGGCGGCTGTGCTGTATAGGAACAGTCTTGGCCCCTGTCTGGTTTGACAGTTGCAAAAAGCAGGAAGGCTGAAGGACTGAAGGAAGAAAGTAGTGCCCAAAAATACCTGCAATGAGCTCATTCTCATTGTGAGCCATTTCATGGGCATTGCTTTGGTCGTAATACAGGTTGTGGAGTGCAGTGTTAGGACAGAGCAGTGGGTGCTTAGTGCTCATGTTGCTGATGTAAGGAAGTCATTACATTGAAAAGGTGAGGAGGGGAAAGGAAAAGGGGGAGGAGATTCTGCTGGATTTTTTTTCAGTTTTAATATGGGAAGTAATAACTTCCCTGTGACAGTGAACATCAGCTGTAATCATTATTTAATGTATTTATAACAAAATTGCTTTGGTCTAGGCTAGTTCAGTCCCATAATTATACAGGAATTCTTAATGTATTTGGACCAAATGTCTAAATTGGATGAGTAATAAATACCCAACAGAGACAGATCAAAAGGGGGAGGGGTCAAATTAATTTTTTTTTAAATTGCAGATTCAATGGGCTATACTTAAGAAGGAGAATTAATGCAATCATTAACGCGAGATGGAAAATTAATGATGAAGCACCTGTATAACAAGGTTCTATTTGCTGGAAAGTAAATAGAAGTTACAGAGCATTTCAAAAGTAATTCAGTGTTGTTTTAAAAACAAAGGCAAGTGATTTTGTGCTGGTTTAAGGGAAAAAACCAAAGGACAATTATTCCACTCTATTTACCACTAGTAATGCCTCAGGTAGGGGATTCAAGTCAACTCTCAGCAGCACGTTTTACCAGGAATCCAGACCAATAGGAAACATCCAAATAAGAGTTATGAGAGGATTAGAAAGCAAGGCCAATAAGAAGATAGGAAGAAAGGAGTTTATTTAGTATAGAGATAATTAAGAGGAGACAAAAGTCTTCCAATAAAAAGAAAGTAGACAGAGGTTTGGGCTACTGAAGTGGCTGAGTGCAGGGCAGCTGCTGCACCACCAAGGCTTTAAGCAGCCAGGAAAGCAGCTGAACGTGGAGAGCCCAAAATCAAGGTAGAGAATGCCCAAATCAACTTTCTCTCCTGCAGCAGCCTTGAATTGCAAGACACAAGTGGTAGATTGGAAAAGCAAAACTGATTTACCATGTCTGTATATATGGCTTTAAAATATCTTGTCTATGCATGAAGGAAGTAAAAATTATTTAACATATAATAAAGAATATTCAGGCAGTATATTACCACAAAAAGGGCTCTCTTACAAGAAGAGTAGTGAAATCCTAGAACTGACTGCTTCAGATTGCTTGGAATTTTACTTCACTTGGTTGAGAAACTCTGTTAACATTCATTCTAATATTATCTTCATATTATATTATCATCCTGTTAAAGGATTTTCACTGACCTTCCTGACAGACATCTTCACTAAATGTCATATCCTGTGCTTTTCACACAGCACCTAAAATGTAATAACACTTTGTCCCAGTGTTCAAGAGCAGAGGATGAGGCCTTATGCTTAGTTTTATCAAGGTATATTCCACAAGTAAAATGAGTACAGGCAGATGTGTTTCTATGCAGATCTACTGGGTAAACACTCCTGGCTTGCCTCTCATCTGCTGTTCTAATCTGAGAAGGAAAGCTAATTTTATATCATCTGTGTGAGTTAAGTGTTCCCAGGTGTAAAATAACAGGGAAGAATTCTTTCACTGTTTCCAGACAGAAGAATGATTCTGTTCCGATGAATCCCTTTGAGACCTCTTTCTTCAGAGTCACTTGGTTACTGTTTGGGGCTGGAGGGTTTGGCCCCTGGGGGTTTGACAGGGTACAGATTTTACTCAAACTATGGCAAGTTTCTAGCATTCCTAGGAAACTGAGTGTTTGCCAAGAAGTGTGACAGAGTTAGTCATTATGTTCCCAGCAGATGTGAGGACATCTGTCACTGGTTAACAGCATCCCTGTGACTGCAGGGGGAAAGGCCTTAGGAGGTAACCAAAACAATGCATTTGTTCTGTGGGTCTGATGGGAAGTGGGCTAGGAGTGGAGAGCAGAAAGTTCCCGGGATGAACTCTGCTAAGCCATTTGTTAACCCTCTTTGTGTAGTTTTGCAACTGTGCTTGCATACTATTTTTGTTTGGATAGCCCACAACGTTGGGGTGATGCAATGCAGCAAGAAAATGAGCTGACAAAACTCTGTGTCTGAAATTTCAGTAGTTAAGAAACCTGGTAAATTTTCACAACCTCTTGTAGACCGAACTGGGTCACTGGCAGAGGTCACAGAGGGGATCTCATTTCTCGGGTGCCAAGAAAATGACGTGTTTATAAACCAGCTGCCAGCCCTCACCCCGACCACGTTTGAGTTGGATTGGTTTCTGTGGAGCTCTGAGTGTTTGATTTTAACATTTCAGGAGTGAGTTCATAACTTACTGAAAACTTTGATGTTTTGAAGGCATTTTTTTCCCTGGTACTGAGTGGGGAAAATCCAAAGTTTCATTTTGCAATGTGGTATCCTCTTAACTTTTTAAGCTGAGCCTTCTAAAGTCCCTTCCAAAGGACTCCCAAGCCTTTTGGAGAACTTTAGAACCTTTGAAGTCCAGCTCGGCATTTATTGTGACTTCTAAATACTAAATCTTTGTGAATTCTGAAAGACCCAGCTAATGAAACTAGAAAAAAAAAAATCTGAAATCTTATTTGGCAAGCTGAGCTTCATAGCAAGTTTACCAAATATAACATCTCTTATAATTCTTAATTATATTTCATCAATATTTCCTATTGTACAGTCTTCGAAAATAATTTCAAATCTATATACCCAACTTCAAAATCTAAAAATGTGTTTTTCACCAATATGGCATAAGTCACAAACTATTTTGGGGACTGAATATTTAAATAGAATTTTGAAATTAGTCCTCTTTATATGTATTTATATGTATTTTAACACCAAATGGTCCTTTTGGAAGATCTGATTATGTGCTACAATTGTTTTGTTGATAGTCATTGTGTAATGGAGGTTGTTATTTTTTTCAAGGACTTAAATGCTATTCTTTAAAATATTTTAGTGCTGAAATTTTTTTCTTTTCTGTAGGTTTAATAGTTATAAATGGCTCAAATGGAATAAAACTAGTAAACTTCCATGGACCTCAGTACTTACAAAGATTTATCTCAGCTCTTTGAATTTAATTCAAAGGTTATATAATCAGGTCTATTTTAAATGCTAAAATTAGATATCCACAAAGCAGGTGGGTAGTAAGTACACAACTTAACTTTTAACCATGTCATAAGGTCTGATTTTTGTGGATTCTTTAAATTAAAACTGGAAACTTAACCTAGTAATAGTAGAAATTTGTGATTATTACATGACCATGTAAACTCTTCTCTTCTTCCTTATTTTTTTGTCTCTTTCCTGGACCACTGCAAAGAGATAGATATATGCAGAACATATATGCATATATGTTCTGGGACATCAATGTACTAATTAGCTGTAGGAGAAGGAATGAAAAGCTTTAGGTCTGTTCTTCTGGCTCCTATGCCAAGCACAATATCTCTGTAGAGCTTGCAAAACCCTCTAGGGTAAAATACTACCTTGGATAAGCAAAACAGAAAAATATAATAAACCATGTGTTTATAAGGGCACAGTATCAGGAACTGGATTGCTAGTCAGAATTTCCTTACAGACAGGGTGAAACGTCAGTGTTCTTCACAATGCATATAACAATTTATACACAACATTGTGTATAATACACATTGAAAACATTGAAAGATAGCAATGACACAATTTGAAAACCTCCAGCTTTGTTTTGCCTTGACTCTCTAGTTGTATGCTGTTGAAAGCTGTAATGCAAGAAGGGTGAGATTGAAGGGAAAGGTCTGGTGCCTGTCAGTGGTCCGGGCATGGTTTGTGTCCCAGTGAAGTGCCATCTGACAGGAGAGGGATGCCCTCTGCAGGGCTCTGGCCATTCCACGCTGTTCCCTGACAGATCTTTTCTGAGCCAGGTTCACTGGGAGCAGCACATGGAAGAGAGCCCAAGGAAACTTTCTGTCCTGGTGGTCATCGTGTCTTTTGGAGCTACCAGGGCTTCCTCAGTGTTTTTGTTACTCAGCATTGAATACCCCATACTCATACCCCAGCTCGTGTGACTGAGCCACGCTCCAGAACAGTTTAGAGGTTTGTGAGGAGGAGCTGAAGTTTATACTATGAGCTGTTTCGGTGGAAAATTGAAACCACACATTTGAATTGATCGAATGGAATTTGTGTTCCAATGCAGATGATGTTTTTCTTTTTACATCTGTTTAGTGTGTTCAGAGCTTTGCAGACAGATGTTGTGCAGCGCCTCTCGAGCAGAACACACAAGCAATCTCATTTGGGAGTTACACTATGCAGTATTGCAGCAAACTCACTCAGTTTTCCTATTTCTCCTCTGTATCACAGGTGCTGCTTTGCCACCACTGAAGCTTGTGCATTCATTCTGTGCCATGAAAGCAGATGATGGTCCATGCAAAGCCATCCACATCCGCTATTTCTTCAATATTAAAAGCCGCAAGTGTGAAGTATTTGAATATGGTGGATGCCATGGCAATGAGAACAACTTCCTAACGCTGGAAGAATGCCAGGAGAAGTGTGTGGTAACAGGCCAGTACCCATTCTCTCACCCTCCTACCAATTCTTTATTTGCATCTGTTATTTCTCATTCACAAACAACTTGAATTTGGGAAATTAAAGGCTTCTTCGTTTCCTATTAATAGAGAAATACAATTCCTCTAATTATGTTCCCAAGTATTCCCAAGTAAGTTGTAGTCATTGAATTGTTTTACATAGCAGGCATTCAGGATTTGTAAAGATAGGCAGGTTTTATAGTCAAGCTGTGGAAAAGAGACACCAATGCAAGGAATCTTATTTTCTAGCTACAGCCCTGTTTTGGATGAGTTCCTAAATGAAACTGATTTTGAGGCTGGGCTAAGCTTGTGGGTAGCAAAGATTTTCTTTATTGCTTTCAGAGTGTCTAACCCAAGTTTTGATCTCAGGTTTGTCCTTCACTTGAGAAGCTGATAGAAGTTGTCCAAAATTTTGGCCATCTTCTCTGTTTCAGCATAATTACTACTACAGCAGCAGATAATTCTGATTAAAAATGTCAGTTATAGCCATTCCTTAGCTTTCCTTTATTGAAACCTCCTCAGTTAATCATTGTAAAGAGGAAAATGAGATCTAACATGATACACAGCACAATGTGCACCAAGGGCCTTGTGAATGCTGGTTTCGCTATTAAAATTCATCCTTGTAATTAATTAAGGTTTTCAGCATTGTACAAATTCCTCACATGACTGGATGAAAATTAGAAGATTCTTAAATTTGCCAGTGGAGCTAGAAATTTGGCAAGCTTGTATTTTTAGAGACTGGAGGAATTCAAGTCTTATTGATGGTTTCCTCCAGATACCTACTACGGATCTTGCTTTCGCTGGTATTTGATGGAATGTGTCTGGCTGTGTAAACAGGAAATAGGGATATCTTGAAGGGGAGAAGGCAATGGAAATGGCAAGAAAATTTCAGAACAAAGGGGCCCTTAATGGTGTGTAATAACCTTCAGGTAGTACATAAACTGTGTGAGATTCTTTTCCCCAAGTCTCTTCATGCACTGGATGTTCATTTCTTAGACTTCAAGGTAAGAGAGAAGGATTCATTCCCAACAGAAGGTACTTTTCACTCACATATGCCTTGCCCAGCAGCAGAATTTTCCATGGTCACTGAGCTCAAGACAGTGATTCTGGGCAATTCTGCATTCTGTAGCAGGGAAAAGTTAATAGGTTATTCTGTGGATGGGCAGCTGTCTCTTAGTGCTGTGTCCTGGTAGCACCCAGTGCTATGCAGACCTTGGCAGGTGTCATTTTGTTTGCCCTTTTTTCATAATTTATTGTGAATAAAAAAAATTTCCTTTTCTTGAAATTGGAAATCTGCTGAAGGTGCTGTAGGTTCTGAATTGTTTTGCAGGATACAAACTTGTATCTTCTAGAATTAGCAATGGTCACTTGCAAGCACAGTGAGTTCTTATAGGTTACAGAAAATACTTCCCAGGAATTTCAGATTAGGAAATTGATTTCAGAAGCTCCTATTTGGAGCAAAGCAGACTGCATATATAACAAGGTAATTTATAGCATCAGGTTTTGTCTGGCAACAAATGTAAATGTCTCCTACCCATTTTCCATCCCTTCTAGAATTCACATCTACATAGTGTTTAGATCAAGCTTTAAATCTGTTTCTCAACACATCTGTATTTCCTGATCAAAATTACTCTGTATCATGTTGCTAGATTTATTTAGAAATCAAAGTAAGCTTCTGTCTCCCACCCCAGTGTTAAAATAATGGCTGGAGCTGGTTACACATTACCCAAAGTAGTATTTCAAAATGTTTTTTAATTTTAATGCCTCTAATCTTCACAGTCTGCAAATGTTAATAAGCCATTTCATATTCCTTGAAAGCATTCCTGGTCTCAATGCCTTTGGTCTTTCCAAAGAGGAGACTGCATGCATTTTATTTACTCACCACATACTCAAGATATAATTTACCATTCAGATCTGTTTTTCTGATCTGCTGGTGCCACCATAATTTCAGTTAGGTTTTGCTTTTAAACAACTGCATGCTTATAAAGTTACCTCTATCAGGATGGAACAAATAAACACTACAAAGGTTCACTAAAAACTTGTCAAAGTCAAAAAGGTTACTCCATTTTTTAAGTGGGTTTTTTAATTTTCCAGTTCTTTTTATTCCAAGGATTAATTTGAAAGTTACCTTTTGATGGTTTCTGGACAGATCTACTAATAAGCCTCAGAGACCAGAGGTGCTCCAGGGAAGAAGTGGCAAGAATCAGTCACAGCTTGGCTCTGTTTTCAGGTGCAATACATGAGTAAACACAGTGGCAATGATATTAAAATAATTTCTTGATTATTAAAATGACATCCCATCAAGAAAGAGGCATATGGAAATCACAATTCTTTAGTTATTAAATAACATAATCTGGCATTTCAAGTTAAAAAGAAAGAAAAAAGAATGACATGAAGAAGGTCATTTTGCCTTAAATGCAAGCACACACAAAGTTCAGGAACCTCTCCTACTTGGACCTGAAACAGATCTTAAGCTAACTCTTCCTGAAGTGGCTGAAAAGGGAAAGAACCTTTAGATTAATGAATTTCTTTGCATGTTGAAGTTTCAGATACTTCCAGAAGTGCAGATTACTGTTTTGGTGCTCATTTACCTGTATTGGGTATTTTAACAATTGTTAGGGATAAAAGTTGTTTACAGCACTGTTCCTTCTCCAGACTATACTATTTGTGTCTTTGATTCATCATACCTGTGTTTAAAAAAAGAATACCAAAGTAAGATAGAATTCAAGTCATAGGTTTTAAAATCTTTCCTTACAGACTGTTTTATGGGAGAAGATCTCATTTCTGGGCAGAAAATCAAAGAAGGAATTCATCACAGATGATTAATCTGTTTCTAGTTATGACTCCACCAAGTCTAAAGAGTACAGTCTTTCAAGATAAAAAATTGAAAGTTATTGTTTCCTTGAATAGCTTTCAGTGTCAGGAAGACCTGGAATCTAGGATGTTAATTATCTCTTTGTTGTCTGACACCAGGCTGGCTTTTGGTGGTTTCCAGCTAGTATTTGGTTTGGGGTTTCAGCAGGACCCACAGCATCTTTACCATGCTTGGAGTGGAGTTATATGCAAGATTACACCTGCCAGTATCTCATCCAAAACTTGACACTTCCTGTCACAGGAGATTTGGAGTGTTTGTCCTCAATTTCAATTTAAAGGCTAAGATTGAGAGATAAAAGGGAAAAGGCTGGGTTTATAGATGCAGAATTTGGAATGAAGTGTCCGAAATTCAGAATCAGGTGTCATGAGTGAAGCTTTATCACATTATTTCTTCAATCTGATGTTGTTGTTTTCACAGAATCACAGAATAAGCTGAGTTGGAAGGGATCCAGCATTACTTTGATTTGCACACGTTTTATCTGGAACAGGTCTTCTAGACCAAATCATGTACTGGCATATATTTGGCATAACTCTATAGTATAAAACTGAAATTTATTTAAAATGAGAACTGGCTTAGTGTCTACATCTTGGTGCTCAGCCCACAAACACTTTTCTGTGTATGAATAACAGTGATCCAAGACTCTCCAAGAGCTGGATCTGCTTGGAGGAAGAGGAGAAACAAAGGCTCATGATATCTGTATTCTCTGAATGAGTAACAGCAAATAAAATGATTTGGTGTTATGTGCAGCATGCTGCAGACCATTAGGCATAAAGCAAACTCTTAAATTAATCCCTTTTGTTAACATAATTCAGCAAAACCCCTGAATAATTCTGTGAATTTTTGTGAAATCTAACTCCATCTGTGCAGTCTTGTAGTATATAACTACATTCATCTTACTGACAGTTTCAGTATATATTAGTGTGGGAGATCCCTATTTAGTGACTGCAAAAATGAATCTGAAGAGAGAGTACAAATGACACAAAAGTGCTTAAAACTAAAGGAAAATCTGAAATAGTAAATTATCACTTTGAAGAACATGAAGACAAATACTGATAAAAATAAGCTCAAGGGCATCTATCTAAAATATGTAGAAATTCAGAAGAAATAACATGATTTGTCAAAGTTTTGGATTTTCAATATTCAGCACAAATACAAGAATAAATGAGCCAGAATGAGTGAATTTCCTAATCAGGATCACTTTTTATCAGTTTGGAATCAATAAGTCACCAGACAGAACTGACTGATGTCAGTACAACAGAGCTCAGAAAGCCCAGCTGCAGGTTGGATATTCTAAGGCTCTCTAAGACAAGGTTCCGATTCAAGGTGACTACTTCTGAATCAAGATTCCTAGTCATCAGCTGTATTTTTTGTTTCTTGTGCCCAACACTCACAACTACAGGGAATGAAAAAGTACTTTCTAACAGGAATTTGCCTATAGGCTCCATTGTTTACTGGATATGAGTATAATCACAAATGTTATCTCTAGCACAGAGACCTTAATTTTCAAGGCAGGAATATAAATTTTAGGCTGCTTAAGCTAGTTAGTATAGGAAAATACCTGCTGATAAATGCTTCTGGTCATGATGGCAATTCTAATGTCTATTATTTAGAGTGGATCTACAAAGAAATGCACTTTGTTTACAAAAAGGAGATCAACTCAGATGTGGATTTGGCTTTTTGACTGAAACCAGAAGCAAAAACACTGTTGACATGGTAGTAAGATTAAAAGATTCTAGGCCTGTATAAATTCACAATAAAATTTTCCTTTTCTCTGCCAGAAGAGTAGAGATCATATGCCAAAATATGATGCTGATTTTGCCCTGAAGGGGACAGCTGAGTGAGATTAGTGAAACGGCCTGATGTGCGTGTCCGTCGTTTAGGTCATGGGATTTAAATGCTGAGGGCCAAGCCTCCTACTAATAGGAAAAACTGGAAATCTCTTCAAAGAAATGCTATGTCATTCTGAAGTGCATGCCATGTCTTTAATATTTTTTAAAGGGTAACAGCTGCATTGTCCCAGAGGTGGAAGGAAAAATGTGTCATGACAGAATTTCTACCCAATAGATCTGCTTTGATAATATAACATTGGCAGGTTTCCAGAGAAAACTAGGGTAGAACTATGATACAAAAGGGCAGTAAAATACAAAACAAGAATTATGAAGCAATGCAAATAAGGTGACTAAGGCAGAGTCCAGAAGCTGCTGGCTACCTTTCTCTCAGCTGTTGAAATATTGTCAGCCTTTCTCAGACATTGGATGATCTGCTCTGCCCTTGGACTCTTTTACTTACTCCTTCAGTTTTATGATTAGACAGTCTTCTACAAGGAGAAGGTTTGTTTCCAGTCTCTAAAAAGGAACTTGAATTAAGATATCCAGTTGCTTGAGCTGATACAATAAAACCCAGGCTCCTGCACTAAAATGGCAATAACAACTTCGCTGCAGATCATGCACAGAGAGAACCATGCAGACAAAGTTTTCATCTACACCCCTCTTGGATACCTGGAGATACTTGACCAAAGGGGCCTTAATATCATTAACTGCATAAGGAAAGCTTCACTCAGGCCCTACATGGCAGAGCAAAGGATTTTGGAATGGGAATAGGATGAGGGAAGTCTTACTGTCTTCCTCAGTCAGCTCCAGAGCCATGAGCAGTATTAGTAGCTACCGCAGTCGGGTTGTTAGTCTGCTAATTACTCCTCTTTCGAGGAGTAAGGTTGCATGATACAGGACCCTGGATCCAGTACCAAGAGGAGTAATTTCCCTGTTCAATTCAATAGCGGTGTACTTTGATTTCAGTTCTTTCTATATTGTCAAGTTTCCAATATAGCAGGTTTTGCTATACAAAGGAAATGGTACTTCAGTTCTCCACTATGAGCTTTTGTGCTGCTTCCCAAATAAAGAGAAAATGGAAAAGGAAGAGATGCTGTATTCTTATTTCTCAATGCTTATTGTCACTGCTAAACATCCTGGCATCACAGGTGAGACTAAACATACTTGTTCTTGCTAAATACTTTTATTTGTCTTGCAGAACTGTCTCAGAAGATGCCGTTAGCAAAAATTAAGAAAGGTAATTATGTTTACATCGTAATCTAAGATTCTTCTACCACAATAAATGATTCATTATCTTCTTTTGTTAACTCAGGACAATACATAATTTATCTTCAACAAAAAGAAGCAATGTCAGATTAAAGCCAGTTCTTAGTCCAGATCTTTTGTCTTCATCAAAGTATTTGAAGACAGTTGTGGTCACTGAAGATGGTAGCTGCACTCTCTTCTCCACAAAATAAATACATCACGATTCTTTTCTCTTTCCTCAGTAAAAAGAGGGACTTGGCAGAGACTCAAGCATAGTATAATTAGCCATGATGGGGAACTCTTCCTATGTATTTTGAGAATAAACTAAATGCTTTGTACTAATACTTTTTTACTTTTAGAATAAAAGGGAAAATTTGCTCTGAAACAGAACATTTTAGGCATTGTCTGTGGAGGTTACTCAGTTGGTCTGTGGAGAAAACTGATGTTCCTAAAGAGGATATTTCAGCTTGACACTCAGAGCAGAGCTTGTGAAGACTTACTTCCCCTTTGCACACTGGGGACTCACCTGGATGGGGCCCACTGTGGGCAGCCAGAGATCCTCAAACACAGACCTGAGTAAACTTTTTCACAAGTCAGCTCCTCTTTTTCTGCTTCCTCTCCTTCATCCCTCCTTCCACTCAGGACTTCCTGAATGGGTGTGCATTTAGCAACTTGCAGAAATGCAAATACTTGCACATATATTTTGAAAAAGATTATAATCAAATCACCTATCTTTACAGAATAGTATTTGGAATATTTTCATACCAGATGATGGTTTTCTTTTCGTGTTTTCTATTGTCTTTTCTATTCTTAATGTGTTAAAAAAATCATGATTATACTGTGGAAGGTTGATTTTTCCACAGATGCTGCAGATTTTGACACTACTTCCTTTAAGAGCTGACCCTAGTTCCCTGCTTTTAATGACAAACCAGAACACATCCTGTAAAATTCGGCTCATGGCTATCATCAGCATTATTGCACATGTACTGATGTTTCCACTTACATAGTCTGGAATATCAAGTCCTTGGAGAAAGATGTGGCATTTAGAAGTATAGTACTGTTCTGTATGGTTAGGATTATGTTGCCTTCATGAACTCTCTCTTCAAAAGTGGCTATAAAAGTTAACTGTGAGCTCAACTAATTTGGACTTAATTTTATTTGCAAGAACTATTTGAATATAAGAATATTCTAAATGAAGGACATCTGTTTTTAAGAATCAGTCATAATCCTGTAGCCTACTTTGCACACCCTTATTTTTGTCTGCCTTCCTTTTTTCAGTTAATATCTATCTAATAATATCTTTGTGTTATTTCACAGTATTGTGCAATGTTTGATGAGAGATTTTTTTTGTGTAGCTCCTGTTGTCTGTGAGCTCCTAGCAGATGCAGCAAATACTCCTGCTGGAGTCTTGCTGTTCCCTGTCTACACACCTCTGTTTTCAGCTGAAATCACAACATGTGCCTCGCACATATTTCTCATATCTACTGCTCTGTGTGTGCTTAGCTTTCTAAATCTCTGCACATCAATGGGTGCTGCCGTTGCATAGGAAGAGAAGTGAAAGACCTGAACTGTGGACTACACTTACTGCCAGAGAATGAAATTTGTAATGAAGAATCACAATTAAGCTATTCAGGAATGCTAAAAACAGTTGATTTGGTTGCTTTATTCAAGAATAATTTAGTGAATTAATTTTGCATGTGATCTCTGAAAATTATTTTTTTGCTGTTCATGAAGTAAAAATTGAAATGCAGTATATTGCCAAGTAATTCTTAGAAAAACACTAGTTTGTGAGCTATTTTAATATTTTATATAAATTCAACATGTGCATCAGTTGCCTTTAATAATAATCTAGTTCTAGCAATGAATTTGAATATATACCTACCTAAAATAGGTGTAGTAGGATTAACTTCTTTGCAAGTTGACAATCTACTTCTATAATGTTAGGAACTTCAAAATAATTGTTCTATATCCATTTTTTTTTTTCTAAATAACAGCCCATTGCACACCATTTTATATTTTGTGAATTTTCACAGCTAAGCAAAGCCTTTATATGTTACATCTGATAGGATTTTCTAATATGATGGTTAAACAGATTTTTCTCAACAAGTCAGCTCAGACAAAAATCATATTTCAAAATATCTATTAGCAAGAATCTTAGAATTCCTCCACATATATTTCATTATTGTTACCATGATTTTAAGCATACTATTTTAAGAAAAAAACTGAATATGATGAGGACTTGACTTTTGGGGATTGTCATATGGCTATGTGTTTTTCTTCCCTGCCAGAGGATGTGATATCATGCTGTGATATTCAGTCAAATTATGCAATATTCATTTGTTAACTTTTCCTGGGTTGTTATTGTAGTTACTGATTGCAAACTCAGAACTGGGACTGAAATATTCTAGAACAGCTGCTCTGTCTCCCTGTTTCTAGTATCTTTTTATAAGGATAAACTGCCCCAGACAAACTGCACTGCTAGATTTTTTTCCATTCTATTTTAAAACCCCTTCCTTTTTTCTTCTATTTGAACATTGCTTTGTGTATAATTCACATTAACACTGACAGAAACATAGATAATGAGCATGTGTACTTAGGTGCAAGTGATCCAGCTGAGGTTCAGGTCTTTTTTAAATCAGAACAAAAACTAATTTTCAACTTAGAGTGTCAATGTTTTGGAACTTTAAAGAACTCATTAGTTGACATTTTTAAAGATGTGATTTAGTGGCTACTTGAACAGAGCAATAAATACCCCTGTAATATTGCAGTGTTAAATATAAAACAAAAGCAGCACAACGAAGCAGAAGTTATTTTATAGTTGCCCTTTGGCCCAAAGTCACAGGTTTATTTAGTAAACTTCCCCCATTTCTGTTCTTGTCTAGGGATGCATTTTAGTTTTTTTTCTTCACCCACCCTGTTCATTATTTAGCATTGTTTCTAGGAAAGCCTGACTTCTGCTTACACCCCCAAGAGCCGGGGGTCTGCCGAGGATATTTTACCAGGTATTTCTACAACAAAGAGACAAAATTGTGTGAAGCATTCAAGTATGGTGGGTGCCTAGGAAACCAGAACAACTTCAGGAGTTTGGAGGAGTGTCAGAACACCTGCCAAGACAATTGTAAGTTGATGTTTTTAATCACTCTTAGTTTTACTCTTGTATAAAAAATGGTGTGTTTTGAATGTATTTTGCATGGAAAAAAAGACAATTTAGAGGTGGCAATAATTTATATATATATTTACGAAATTTACAATAATTATACATATTTTTAAATAAAAATGTCAAAATGTGAAGTAATAAGTAAAAAAATTGGTAGGTACTATTTAAGGAATATTACAGGACTCCTATGTTTGTTACCTTTGTCATGACAGCTAACCTAAAATCTGCCATTTGTTTGACTCTATAGTACCATGAAACACCAGTGTATGTTTTTAACCCATAGATCTGCACACACTCCTTTCACACCAAGTCTTGTAATGACAAGAGGTGTCCATATAGGAATTTTTAACTCACTGTGTATTGCTAGCTTCCCACCAAAGATTCATGAAACACCTGTGTGTCCCTTGGGAATGATTTGGCTGTGCAGCTTAGGCTACAAAAGCCATTCAAACTGACCACAGACCAGTCATTTGCTTCCTTGTCCCACTTGTTCCAATGAATTGTTCTGCATCAGGATACAGTAACCTTCAGTACTCCTCTCCCTTCACCAAGTGCTTCATTTTGTTCGTAAGGCGAATACATTTTCCCATCGAGAGCCTCTAGACCTTTTTATCTTGCTTGTCTCTAGTGGGCCTTTTTCCAACAGTGTTTCATAAGCTGTCATTTTGGCAAGGGGAACTTGAGCTTATTCACACTTAAAGTAGAAAAGACCACTATGCTTCTTTTTAAAGACTTTTTTCAAACTATAAATATAGAGCCATGTGCATTTTCCCTACTTTTGCTGAAGCATTTTTTCCTGAGCTGTGATTCCACTCTTACCTTCTGGACTAAAAGCTGCAGAATATTCATTTTCATTACTTTAATCTCAAATAACACCTTCATGTAAATTTGCATGAACACCCAAGAAAAAAGGGTTAGGGGCTGTTGCCATGGTCTAAATAGATTGATATTTTTATTTCTGAGATATTGAATCATTGATACCAATTTTTGGTTTTTTTTCTTAACAGTTTTCACTTCCTTTGTTTGTCTTTTTTTTTTTTTTTTAATTTAGCAAATTTATTACCAACTGTTACAGCTGAAGAGCACTCCAACACTCTGAACAGCAGTTCCCCAGCTGAAGAGCATCCCAACACTCTGAACAGCAGTTCCTCAGCTGAAGAGCATTCCAATACTCTGAACAGCAGTTCCCCAGCTGAAGAGCATCCCAACACTCTGAACATCAGCTCCCCAGCAGAAGATCCCAGCCAGTCTCCTGGGATTTTTGGTAAGAATTTGCTCTTGTTGTTTTTAGTCAATCCTTTGATGCCTCTTGGTTTGTCCACTGATTTTTTGCATTTATTGCAAGACCTGTATGTCACTGGGAATACCTGAGCACAGGGAAGTCATTAACATTAAAACTAGCTTCAGAGCCACTTTCTTGCCAGCAATACATATTTTGAAAAAGGCTTACAATTGCAAAGGTTAGAATGTCGACTGGTAATATAAAAATAAGCCACCAAGCTGTGTATGATCTAAATTTTGCATCAGTAAAACTAAGGAAGAAAAAAGGAACCCATGGCAAAGTTGTTTCAGCAACCTGAATTTCCTGCACCTTCGGGCTTTAGAGATTTTGCTTGGCAACTGGCATCAGTTGTGGGTTTGAGCAGGGCCAACAGGTACCAATCACAGCTGAGGTTCAGAGCTTGGATGTGTCTACATAGCCCATCATTGACTGTTTCACAACAACTCTATTTTCTCTTTTAGGTAATTTGTTGCCAACTGCTCCAAATGAGAAGTCCAACACCCTGAACAGTAGTTCCCCGAAGGAGGAGCCCAACCAGTTCCCATATTTTTTTGGTAAGAATTAACTTTTGCAGTTCTTAGTTCTCAGTCTTTTTATATGAATTGCACTTCCATTTCAACCCATTTTCTGACATACCTGAGACTAAAGAATGGGCTTTCATCTTCGCCAAAGGATTTGATAAGCAGAGAAAGTCAAAGCAAAGGAATGTGTCACAACTTACAGATCTTTTGTAAATATCAGATGTGGAAGGCTGACCACCCTCTTTAAAAAGTGTACACTTTCTAAAGGCCTGATTAATACAAAGGGGAAAAGCAGTCATGCATAATTCTTTCAGTCAAAATTAATATTTCTGTAAGGATCTAATAGGCAAGTTATTTAAATTCCTTTTACCCAATATAAAGAATGACATTTGGATTTTAGAATATATCATAGTATATTTAATACCATAATGTTTCTGTTTTCACTGTGACCATACTGAACTCAGTTTTGGGTTGAGTATAATCACAATGAGTATGAATTAATTTAAAATAGTGCTCCAAGGTATTTTTGCACTATGTATTATAATGCAGAATGGACTCTGGACCCTTACTGAGGAGGGATAGGTTTTAACAATATCAGCAGCTGGACCATGTCCACTGTAGATGGCTGGTGCTTGCTCACACTGTACAGCATGATTGAATTTGAGGCATGTCATTTTTATGATCCACAGTTGTGCAAGAGGAAGCAACAAACAGTTGGAAAGAGCCTGAGCATTCTCACCAAGTATTTATGCTGTTTTTTTGCATTTGTACTTGCTTGTACTTTTGAGGACTGAGTGATGATGTAGAGACTCACTAAGGTTTTTGTATGTTATATATTCTGTAAGATAACAGGTGGGTAGGTGGCATTCCTGTGCTCTTTGCTTAGAATGGAGTGTCTAATAAAGCATGAATATGTGTTGTACTCTATTTTTGCCTGAACTGTAATCCACATGCACTGCTGCTTTGATGGAGGTTTCTGTACAGTTGTGTTGTTTGTTTACCACAGGCAAAGCATCAATGCACTCTGTATTTAAATGAATGAATATAAAACAGTAAAGCTTTTGGCAACCTATTTTACTGAAAACCATTTGAATTGCATCAGGTCTGGTTGTAAGTCTATGGGCATTAAGGGCATGCATATTCCCTGAAGGTTTTTAGTCATAGTATCAATGCCTGAATCCTCCAAACAGCTAAAATATACCAGGAAAGGAGCATGATTCAGTGTTTTCTCAGAGGAAATGGAAGGGCTTTTGATTGTGTCAGCAATAGGAGAATTTTCCTGCACAGCAGACTTTGAGAGTGAGAGGTGAGGGTAAGAGATAACTGAAGGTTGATGGAACAAGGAGTCAGTGTAGCAGAATGGGTTGGGTGAGAAGCACAGCCACAGAAGGACCAGTGAATTTCAGTGAAAAGTCTGAAGACCCAACAGGTTCATCTTATTGAATGATCTTTGTTTTGCACTCGTCTGTCTTGTGCAGCCTCCTTTTCCTATTCTGTTTATCTGCTTGTATTCTTCAGGCTGCTGGAATAGGCTAAAATCATGTATTTTGTGCAATCCCACTAGAAAGGAAGGCAAGAGTATGGCCAAAGCTGACAGCTGATTTCTCCACAGGGACATGGAGAACATTCTCTCCATTGCTGCTGTTTCCAGAGGTACAGCTATAAAGTGAAGCTCCAAGGTAGAGACATGTCACTCAAATGTGCAGGGTAACTGTCTGTTACCTTCTGTGAGGGACAAGAATTTGACTTTCACATATGAAGTGAGGGTCAGAGTGAACTGTTTGGGAAGAGTGGCTGATGTCTATCTCCTCAAGCACAGACAAAGTGGCCGATCTGCCATTTTAATATCTATTTTGTATGTATATTGGCCTGGCTATGTATCTTTTTCAAAGACTATTTAAAAAAGTTAAATATAATTCAGTTAATTTACCTTAAAACATAAAAAAAAAAAAATTACAAGGAGTTATCTCTTATAGAATACCTCACCTCACAATTGACATGCTATTTCATCTTGATTTTAAGAAAAAAATGGGTTGTTGGTATGTGTAACTCTGTAACAATATCAGGTTTTTAGATTTACAACATAGTTCTTGATCTTCAGAAGGTTAAACTGTTCCATGACTAAATAAAGCAAACCATGGATACAGATATGAAGTTTCTAGCACTCTCAGCAAAGAACTTTCTGCAGAGATTGAAGATTGTTTTGTTCTCACTCTGGTGAAACATTATAATAACCTTTATTCTGTGCAAACTAAGAAAAACTGAGGCTAAAAATCAAAGCTTTCATTTTATGTGATCTGTGGTAGAAAATTGCAAGCGCTATACCTACATTTGATTTGTGAGATTTAAGTGGGAGACAGGATCAAAAGTCAATTTTCAGCTCAGCAAATTTGGAATAGCATTTGAATGCAGGCCCTGCCAGTACAGAAACAGGGTCATCTTTTACTGATATAAATTGGCACAGTTCTATTTGCTTTAATAGATCTGCACCAATTTATACCTGTGGAGGAGTACTGTCAAGTGTAGAAGATTTATTATTTTTGTAATAGCCTGTCCACTTGAAGATTCTTTTATTTTCACTTTGCTGCAACCAGAAATGAGGAGCTGAAGTCTACATGTATCAAAACCCTGGCAATAAAGCTGAAGCTTTATGAGTGTCACACGCTCTGGTCTATCAAGAAATAGTGCTCACTGCATTCCCTTTCCTCCCGAGTTAATTTCAAACTTCTTTTGTAGTGTGATTACTTAGCAGTCCACTGTCACACAAGCCCTGCAAAGCCTGAGGGATAAGGATTATTGTTGCAGTGCAGAGGGAGTTATTTCTGATAAATTTGAGTCTGTCTCTGGATGTGCATTTTTCAGAGATTCTGAAGTTATGATCTTGTCATCTGTTTATACCTCAGGGGGGATGGGATTCAAGAAAGGGCTGTATCACAGGAATTCAATCTTAAACCATACAGTGTGTACCTCTTCTTTTTTGGCTCGTGGGACTTTTGTTTCTTTCATTTTCTTTTTTCCTTCATAGAAAATGCAAGAGAGAAAACTTTTCAACAACCCTCAGAAAAATGGGTTTGTGAAATGGAAACATTTGGGAGAGAAACTCAAGAATAGGCATAATAGCTCAACTTTCTGTTCCATCACACCCATAAATGCAGCACTAGGAACTGGAGCTGAACAGAGACAACTCACCTGCTGTAATGTTTTTGTGACATTGTTTATACACTGCCTCACAGGCTTTCAGATTGTCCTGCCAATAGACACACTGGGCATGACACAGGGAATATTTTATGCTTACCTGAAGTCAAGTCTTTTCGTGATCAGTAAATTCAAATAAATTTGTAATTTTTATTATCTTCAGCAGAGAGGAAATTATAATAAGTTATTTAGTTTTTATTTTAAAATTCTGTTTTGTTGGAAAAAAATGGCTCTAGGAGGCAAAATTAAGAGTTTTCTTCATGGGCTGGTTTCTTCTGTGAGTGAAGAACAGGCAGATATTTTGAGGATAAACAAGGAACACTGTTTGGTCTTTGGGGCATTTATCTAACAATAATATAGGCAAGGAATAACATTTTATTTGGGAAGAATACAGAAGGGATTCTGAATAGCACCTGGGATTTTGAATAGCACCTCAGAACGATGGAACCAGTGATTTACTTCATTGCTGGTTCTGTGGTTCCCCCAAATCTTGCAGTCATTATGAGAACTCCTTCATGAGGAGACTGTGGACTCACTGGAGAATTCTACATGACAGATAAGTAATTTACATTACAAAGTGTATTTTTGAATTCTCTGATATAGTTAACAAACTTGTTGCTGTTTGGCCCTTTCCTCACTGGCAAGCCTTTCTGCTCTGTTCTTTGTAGGTTCAGAAATTAGCAGGTTAAAACAGGTAAGCTATGCTGACCATATGCTTTGAAAACTAACATCCTCTCCAGCCAGAGAGAGATGAAATTAGTTCCAGGCTCAAGGGTTCTCAGAGCAGTACCAAAAGCATTGCCTTAGTTAATTTAACTACCATCCTCAGTCTAATATAGATTTTATCACATTGTGGACTTCTACTCTTAACCTAGAGTGAGACTTAGTCTTGTGATAATGCCACAATTATGAAAAGAAGTTAAGAGATTCTCATTTTATAGCTTGAAACTAACTTAGTCTATCTCAAAAAAGCAACTCATTACTCAGTTTTTGAATTTCAGGATTATTTTTTTTAAATGCTCTGGCATTGCTAACACACCATTCTATTTCTTTCCCAGCAATTTTTCATACTTTTTCACCACACCAGTTCAGCTACATTACATTTCAGATTAACCTTTTTTTTCGCAGCTGTACAATGTGTAAGACACCTCAGATGTAGCACATGCTTTTTGGGTATTTTGTAGATGTAGCACATGCTTTTTGGGTATTTTGTCAGCCTCCTGAATTGCCCAGGTTAATGCATAACTTCTTGCTTTCAGCAACTCATCTGCTTCCCACTTTTGTGACCACAGGATGCCTTCAGCTTTGCTGCAACCCAAATGACTTCCTCAAATTTTTACTTTGTTTTTCCACTGAATCCCTTCTGTGTGGCTTTGTACCTTCAAGAGTTCCATCTGACTGGCTTCACATTTGCATTTATGCATTCATTTCTTGCATTTATGCACCCAGATACCTCAGTTCTGCTGCTTCCTGAGGAAAAATGGTGCTCTTTTGGGTCCCACATAACTGATGATATAATGACTCCCATTCAGCTTCTTGTAGCCTGTGCAGCAATTTTATCAGTTCCCATTTTGTTTATTAGTCACTCTGGGGTGATAGATGATGGAGTTCTTCCAGGTTTGGGAATTCTAGAATGGATTTGCTTCTTGAACTTGTTCCAGTGCCCAGGTCCTTTGACTACCACAAGTTCATCCTCCAGTGTTTCAGTTCTCACTTGCAGTGACCCTGAAAGAAGAAACCACCAGCCTCTGCTTGGAATGGTAAAATCCTGACAGCAGCACTAACTCACCAGCATCTCCATTAATTTGTGCACTTATTCTTCACATGCAGTACTTTTTTATTCTGCAAGTTACAAGCAATTGTTTTATAACTGCTCAATGGTTGCTTACCAACCCTGTTACTTAGGTCAAGTTTTTTATAGTCATTTAGCAATCTCAGCACTGAGGTATTGAATCTTACACTGGAAATGCTGGGTGCCTTTACCTTCCCCTTGATTTCAGACTGTCTAGCAGTAATTTGCTCATTAATTATTAGAAATATTTGTCATCTTTTTAAATCTGTCCATGTTTAATTTATTTCACCTTACTTTCTACAAATGCTTCACTTGAAACTCCTCAAAATTAATTTGTGTGCGCTCTCCTGTGGCAGAAGTGGCAATTTTATCACTAACAACACAGGTAAAGGTATAGCTTTCAGGTAAGCTTTTGCTGGCAATCCAAAGACAGAATGAAATTTTACTGTGGTATTTTTTTTTTCCTTTTCATAATCATAAAAAGAAACTTATGTCAAATACCTTGGATTTTCAGGAGAGCGGAATTAAATTTACCAGCAGAAATTCCGAATAATATTGACATGAAACTGAAATGCTGCAGTGTTGTCTCACTTTGTTTTTCTTGGTACTTCCAGAACCACCTCCTATCCCTTCTTTGTGCATGACCCCTATGGACAGAGGACTTTGCAGGGCCAAAGAGTTAAGATTTTTCTACAACTACTCCACTGGAAGGTGTCGCCCATTTAGCTACAGCGGTTGTGGTGGGAATGAGAATAATTTCATCTCCAGAAAGTCCTGTTTGAGGATCTGCAAGAAAGGTATGGGAAGTGATACTGCCCCCAGCTATCATTAAGAGGTAAATATTGTGTGGGTCAAAACATTCTCTTGCCACTTCTGGTAGTAAGAATTGGCCTGATCAAATGTAATTGAGAGTCTCAGAAAAGTGAAAATGGAAATCAGGAGAGATACAGAGCTAGAGAGAGAAGGAGGGACAGTAAGTGCAATGTAAAAGAACAGCAATAAGACAACTTGGCATTGGTCAGGCATATCAAGACTTTAGGTAAGACAATGGTTTGTTTGGGTTTTTTTTAAGATTTATTGAAACAAGCTTTTTCTCTTATGTCTGATAATCTTGGATGTCTTCTAATCTTACTTTGTTAATTTTACCTTTAGGATTCAATAAGAAAAAAGGTGAAAAAAAATTAATAAAAATCAAGAAAAAAAGAAAGAAACAGCCAGTAAAGGCTCTCGGCATGGAAATCATTCCTGAAAGAATGCAACTTTGATTTTTATGGAAATGTGAAGTAAACTACTCTTCTTCTAAACTATTCTTCACCTGTGAATGAAAACCCTAAGTGTACACCATTGAAATATATTTACTGTACTGATTATTTTGATTATATGTTACTAAGCTGCTTATATTTTTTATTATGTATTCCTCAATCACGTTAATAAACATTACCTTTTACTTTGCTAAAGACTTTTAAATTGCAATTTGGTTCTATATAATTGTCAGAGCTGCAGCAGGACAACAAATGGTGTGAGTGAATGGTTAAAATGCAGAGAAGATTCAAATTGAATTTCTCACCTCATTATTCTTTTTGAATTCTATTTTTGTACTAAAGAAAACATAATCCTTGTGAAAGAATAATCACTAGTCAAGCATGATTGAAACAATTATCGATTAAAAGATAGGTATATTGCTATAAAAAGAAAATAGACACTGGATTTGTTTTAATCAGATTTATTTTAGATTATGCAGGCCTAGACTTAACTCCATTGAAGTATAATTACATATGATTACAGTACTGTAAAATGAATATGAGATCAGAATTAATCCACCAAAATCCATAAAGGGACTGTTAAAGCTGTAAAGGTGTGAAGCAGTGTTGCAAATTTTTGAAAAGATTTAAAAAAAATATGTGTTGGGATCATTGACTTTTATCCTTGTTACTGATCTAGACTCATGGCTAAGCTTTACTGCTGAAAATGTAAAAAAATTATGCCTTATAAATACTAGAGTGAGGGGGATAAGTAGAATCAGATTTTTATAATGAAATTTTATCCGAATCTCTTCTCTGCTCCTTTCATGGCTCTTTCAATCTAGGATGTCTTAAGTCTGATTTGAAAGATTCTCAAGGAACAGGAGTGTACATCAGAGAGCACTTATGTAGAGCCTTGTCATGTAAAATGTACGAGCACCACAGACTACCACTGCAATAACCACATAAATCAAACACATGCAGTTCTGCCAGCAAACCTATAAACTCCACAGGCTGTATGCACAGAATTAATCTGGTGCATTTTGTCTCCTTGTTCAGTTTCAATTTGATACCTTTCTGCTCTGATTCATCACTTTGCCCTTTCTCTCCAGGTTTTCCTGTTCTTCATGCACCAGGAGTCAAGGCTGTAGGTGTGGGTTGCACTGCCCAGGAGCAGAGCAGTAGGGTAAACACTTGGACCAGCTGGAATCTGTCAATGCAGATAAGTGGAGAACCCATAGTTTAAGCTGCTCCCAAACCTTTCTCCTTGTCCCATGGCACCTGCCTGAGCAGGTGCACACAGCACTTTGTGTGGCCTCCCCACGGCAAGTGTCTTTAGGCACACTTGGGATGGGAGGGTCAGGATTTGCTCTTTTGCCATAGTTGCCCTGCTTCTACACTGACACTGCTTGTGTCTGCTTGGCTAGGGCTGCAGGTGAGGGTACAAAAGTCTGCACCTCCCCTTGTCTGCATTTTATGGTCCAGCCAGTAAAAATACCTGATCTTCCATTCTCAGTCAGAAAAATTTCCCATTGGCTGCCAGTATTAAAACTTAACATAATTTCTAGATAGCAAGATGTACCTCAAAGGGAGACCAATCTGAAAATGACTGCATTCATCTAGGGCTTTTATATGAAAGACAATGAAACTCATTAAGCTGTCCCACCAAGAACATTGAAAAGGATTTGTAAGCTTCGTAAGATTGATTAGATTACAAACAAGAATGATAAACTTTCTAATACAGAATGTTTTGAAATGAGACAACAGATATATAAGGATAGGAAATAAAAGATGAATTTGTATGCAGATTGTCTTGTGATTCCTGTGCCACTTCATGACTGTCTCTCCTTCAGTGTCTCTCCAGCAACTTGTCCACGGCTGCCCGGATTCAACACCTACAAAACCCACATGGGAAAAAAAATCAAGGGAAAAAATCATCCTTTCTGTCCCAGCAGAACCCTGGATGTGTGGCTGCTCTCCATTCTTAACAAGCTTCCTTCCCACTGAGCTCTACTGCAAACTAACAGGGTCTCCTCACTGAGGGGGATCAGTTGCTCCCAGGAGTGTGCAGACTCCTCCAGGACTGCTGTAGCTAGGATAGGACTGACAGGTACTCTCCCATCCTCTCCTACCCCACTTACAGTGTACTGCAGAAACTTCTTGTGCTGCTGTAGTACATTTTGTAATGGCACTAATTAAGTGATCCCCTAAGGACTCTCTTATGTCACTGCTGAGACAGAAGAGAGTTTGTACAGCTAGCATCTCAAGAATAAACTAAAAAACATTTCATCTGTGATTCATCTGTCGGGCTTGCTACTTAGTGCATTGAGAATCGAGACTGCAATGCCACAGGCTGTAAAAACCTGATCATAATCAAGATTTGATCTCAAAGTGCAGGCTGCTCTCAGCTGTGTGTGCACTCAGTTTGGCCACCACACCAGCTATCCAGCTGTTTTTGGTTTTGTTTAGCTCTACAGTACACAGCTATATTTTTTGCCATAAAAAGTCCACACTGCAATGTGATATGATCTTCAACATAACAAGAAGTTTCTTTTACGCCCTTCTGCTTCATTCACTTCTTATGGCTCCTGTACCTCCCACAGCTGCAGAACAATCAAATCCAAGAATAAGAAAAGGGATCTATGCATTTCCCAAAGACAACTAAAGGATGAACAGAGCAGGGGGATAATTGAGGCACATCACAGGAAAACATATGGATCAGGTGCCAGAATGGTGAAGCAGTCAGAACATGAAGCTGTGCTAAGGGGTTACAGTGACTGTACAGTTCCACTTGACTAGAGTCCATTCATCCAGTCCTTTCATTCCAGAATTTGCTCCAGTTGCTTTGGAGAGGAAATGCAGGGTGCTGTGAAATTTCTCCTATGCTGTATGATAACAGCCAACAAGCTGAAGCAATTTTACAGAGGTTTAATGGGTTTCTGTACATCATCTGACCTGCAATAACTTGGTATGTGCCCTTAATCCACACAAATGATGAAACAAAATGGCCCTGAGAAACAATTTAGTGTCCTTTTGTTCATTCTATTTTTCCTCACATTTTTACTGGTATGCCCTCATTTTTCTCCTTTTTATTTTCTACCCCCTGCTTCAGTTTTATTTCCAGCTCACTTGAGCCAGCATTTCTCCCTAGATCCCAAATCCATTTGCTCTCTCAAAGCTGATCGTTTTGTATTTACCTTTTGAGCAAGTCTCAATATTTCTACCTCCTTAAAATTACTGAAGAGGACCAAAGGGTTACGTTTCCTAACCGGTTGTTTTCAGTGGTGTCTCCAAAGACAGATCGAAGTTCAGGTAAAGCAGGGTTTGACGCGTGTGGCTAGGCGGTGTTTCACAGGGTAATTAATCTCGGAATTAATTAAGGCGGTAAATGCCTGCGCGCAGCTTCCTGCGTTTATGCCCCGCGCGGCCGCCAGAGGGCGCCAGCGGCGCGGCGCGCGCCGGGCGGCCTCGCTCCGCTGGAAAAAGCGGAATTCACTCAATTTACCCTTTTTCTTCTCGCTTTTAAACCTTCTTTGGTCCCAGTACAGGTAGGTTTGCCTATTTAGGTCCCCTTGAACTTCTCCTTCTCTTGCTGTCGGCAGCCTGGGTGTGGTTTATGCTCCTCGCAGCCGGGGGATGGGAGATGCGGCAGGGCTGGGGGGGCACCGCCCTCAGAGGCCCGAACTGCGCCAGCTGAGGGGTCCCGGCTCTCTGTGGGGTAGGATTAAGCAAGTTCTAATATTACATAAATCAGTAGAATATAAAACTTTGTAAAAATAAACCCCCAAACCCCCCCAGAGCAACCAAGCAACTGAAAAAAAAAAAAAAATATCCCGCAAACGAAAAAGCCCTCACAAAACTCCACTGACTTTGAAAGGCCAAATCAAACGTGGTCTGTGTAATGCATGCCTCTAGCTAATTCAGATGCCTGTCTTGGAGATGTGTGCTTGGCTGGAACACGTGGATAATTCTCTAAGTTAGAGTGTGTAAAGTACCTTGTTGCAATTTACAACCTAGACCTAATTGGTCTAAAGCAATGCTACCAGGCTCACACCTGACAAAATTCCTGTACCTGCGATGACACCATTTATTTTAGAGAAGTTAATTTCCATCACTGCTCAGAACCAGAGCTAATCCCCACCTTATATCTGTTCACTCAGAGGTTTAGGGTCCTGCTCCTTGGTTCTTCACTGATTATAAAACTCAAACATTCTCCTGTCGATATGAAATCCTAGAAGCACCAACTCTCGCACTTGCCAAGTGAGTATCCAAGCCTGCTTTTTTGATAACCCTGGAGTGGGATTTCTATACAAATTATATTGTTTATGGGCCATTTGGGTTTAAAGTATTCCTGGCCCTTTTTTCCCTCTTCCAATTTTTCCTAACCCTGGATTGGGGCTGATTGGGGCTGAGTTTTGTTTGAAGTTTTATGGGGGGTTTCCCCCTTAGCTTTGTGTTTTTTGCTGTTTTCCTTCTTGAGGAAAATGTTTTCAATGCCCAGATGAATTCCTTCATCCAGTTCACAGTGTGTTCCACAAATGATTCTGCTGGCAAAAGAAAAGTGGGTAAGTGACAGGTAGCGAGAAACAAGCAGAATATTTTATGTTGTTTTATGAGCAAATTCAGTGGTATAATTTTCATTGACCTTTATGACAATGTGATTTTTGGGAGGTTCTCCCAAAAAGGTACTCCCTAAGGAGTACTGGTGTTACAGGTGTTCATATAATTTGTGTTTGATGCTCCATGAACTCCCCATTTGTTCAGCATAGTGTTGTCCTGTGCATACAGTAACTGGTTATTGATTTAGAGGGCACAGATTCTTTCCATAGTACAGGGAATTTATTGTATTAAAAAAAAAAAAAAGTGACAAATGGTTTCAGTGAAACATTTTTAGTTTCTGGTACAATATTCTTTGAAGCTAATAGAAAGACTGCTGTTAATTTTGGTTTTTTTGTCATGGCAGTTTTCAAACCATTCATACTTGTGCTTTCAGATCACCAGTATTTAGAAAAATATAGCATGAAGATCAGCAGTAATAATGTTCCTGTTGTTGTTTTTTCTACCCTTGATACTTTAAAGACTTATTTCTTTAAATATTATTTTTTTCCTTGGGTACAAAACGAAGTACCACTGTAAATGATATGTCCGCTTGAAATTGAAAATTTGATTCTGACCTTTGCAGCTGCTTTACATCTGAGGAATAAAGATATTTCTGT